GTTGTGCTGCTGGAAGTGTGGTTTGCAGGCTGGTGCCAAATTGGGAACTGCTTGTTACTGTTCTGCACTCAAGTAAGTGCAGAAATTGAGAGAAATACAGAATTTTAGAAAATTTTGTGGCAGTTTGACATTGCTGTGACATCTAAGTTCATGATTAGAGGATTTTTTTCTTGTTTACCAGGTTATACCAGTGTGGGTGTTACTGAAACTCACACAAGCTGTGTATATGTTATATAATGAGGTCTGTTTGTCAAAGGTAGTCCCCATATGTAAAAACATGAGAATGTTTCTTTTATTAAACAATAATCTAAGTTTAAGTATAATTTTATAGGATTAAGTATTGGGCCTGGCTAATGAAGAATGATTTTGAAAATATAGCATCACTTGTTTCATTTTGGAGAAAAGTTAAAAATAAATACCGTGAGTTTACTTGAAGTGATTAAAAAATCTCTTCGTTCATTCTTGGCCACCTGCCTGTGTAAGACTGGTTCCTGTACTGTGAGTGTTATTTAAGTAAGTCACAGGAATGGTTTCAATATGTGTTATTCATTGCAAGCAGGATTACCATCAATCCAAACTAGTTTATGTAATTTTACAAGCAAAAAACAAGTATGCTTAAAGGTATTTAATGTAGGGGAATCAATATTTCACTTTAGTTATAAGTGAAATATATATATATATTTATAGTTATTTATATATAGTTATAAGTGAGATATATAACTTTAGTTATAAGTGAAAACTGATAAAAAGTTTTGAGTGTAATAGTAATTTTTATATCAATAATCTGATATACACTTTCAGTGAACATGTGTATAGTTTTTGTGATTTTTTCCTCTATGTTATATATTTTTTCTGATTCTATTTATTGAAATGTAGTTATGTATATATTGAATCTAACCATTTAAAAATTGTTTTGTATGTCTCAATTTTTTATTTCATTTTTCTAGTAATTCATTTTTTATTGAAGTTTACAAAATTGTCAGTCTATGATGAATTGAGGAAAAAAAAAACCCTGGCCCTTCACAGATTGTTTGAAAAAGTACTCATCTAGAATGCTTGCTACCTCAACTTACCAAGTATGATCATCAATATATGGACCACCGCGGAAGTCTGCAGAATGTCTACAGCACGGCAGAGGTGACATAGGCCTTGCAAAATATTGTGCCTGTGTACTGCTGCCCTCACCATGTAAATGCAAACTGTTTTTTAAAAAATCTTGCCTACTGTTGGGGATCAAGAATACATTTGCCTGATCCAATTAAAAAATGGGCAGAGGAGCTGAATAGACAGTTCTCTAAAGAAGAAATTCAGATGGCCAACAGATACATGAAAAGATGCTCCACATCACTTGTCATCAGAGAAATGCAAATTAAAACCACAAAGAGATATCATCTCACACCAGTAAGGATGGCTACCATCCAAAAGACAAACAACAACAAATGTTGGCGAGGTTGTGGAGAAAGGGGAACCCTCCTACACTGCTGGTGG